GCAGATGAATGGGGTAACTTGATGAAGCTTAAAAGTTATGCAGAGAGTTTATTTTTTCCAGCAGTACTGGAGTAGAATTCTTTTAAAATGTAGTTGTCTAATCTGATCCATAAGCTACTTTCTCTCACGTCTCTCGCTAGTATTTGAACTGTATCTGTAAAGGATAATTTAAGCAATTCCTCGATGCTGTAAAACTCAGGACTCTGCAGGTCTGTTGCTTCCATTTACACTTCGGTTCAGACAGGTGCAGATGGAACGGTGGCTCTGGCCCCCGTCAGCTTGGTGACCAAGCGAGAACAATAGGAGATGCATAAACAGATCTTCATAAACAGACTTCCTGCGACTTAGTCTTGAACTAATCCCTCTTATCCCCTGCCCAAGTTCTAGGGTTACTTTTTCCCCCTCTTCCTTCTCTCCTAACAATGAAGGCTCAGATTCTAGCCTTGACTGGGGCTCTGCCTTCCACACCTCCCAATGCCCTTGCTACGTGGAAGCTCCGGGGCAAGGGCACGTAGGTAGATCTTCCCAAACCTGACGCTGGAATCTCTAGTTACAGGACTGCTGTTGCCTTGCCTCATAAATCCAACGCTCCTGTCGCGGGATCTACTGACTAACAGTGTCATGTGAACGGCATAGCGTGGTTCAAATAAAAAAATCGCTCAGTATTTTGGCCAATTGTATGAGGAAACAGCACGTGTGTTGGCCAGTAGGAATTAACGTCAGCATGAATTAAGTAGGCTTGTAGTACCCTTCCTAGAGGAAGTGGAGAACTGCAGTAACAACTTCCAAGAGTTGGTGATTCAGACGCTTACTGGAAAAAAAAAAAAAAACACAAGAGCAGGAAAACCGTAACCAATTTGGAACTAATTGTCTGGTCGCTCCAGGATGCCACAGACCTCATTTGTCTCTGGTGTGTCTAACAGAGATATCTTCTACGTCTCAGCCTCGCGTTGCCTGCTTGGGGAAATTGAAGTGCACAATGCTATGCTGGTGCTGCTATCAAAACAGGAGCAAAAAAACCCACTGAGACTGACTGGCAGTTTCAACCAAACCTAAAAGACAGTTGGAGGTCTCGGGAATATTATGTTGATGTGAGTTTGGGGAAAACAGGCAACGAGGTAGAGAGGGAGATTCAAATTTGCTAGTCCCTTAAGGGAAAGACAGCAACAGGAACTCGCCTTTATTGCTGTATACGGAAGAATTCAGAGACGAGAGAAATGTTATGAGTCTTTCCACCACAAGACAAGCTTTGATCAGAGCTTGTACCCTATCAGGCACAAAATATTTTGAGCGTGAGACATAAAGCTACAGCAGACTTGTCCTTGTAAATTCCGCTGCTCACAAGCATATTTGATCACAATAGGAAATGCATTAAGTCTATATATTTTTTTTTTTTTTTCCCCCCAGGAGAGCACAGCTGTTATATTTCAGTCCAAAAAAGCAAACAGACTGATAGAATTCTAAGTGGTTAAACTAACGTGAAAACATGAAACGTCTGCTGTTATCTTAACTTCCAGGCTCCCTATGTCTTCTACCAACGACAACAAAACTAAGGAATCAAACTGGTGGTTTTTAACCTTCCGAGAAGTGATCGAGGGCACACAGCTCTGGGATACCTTTGAATATTATCTGTATAAACGGCACCTGCAAAGGTGAATCCTGGAGTAAGGATGCTGGTGTGTGCGCACGTGTGAAGGAATGGATTAGCGGTGTGAAGGAGGGGGAGAAGGTCTTTGCCCTCCTCATAGTCCTAAAAGGCTTCTCTCGGGACCTATTTTTTCTTACATCCTGTAAAGCAGCATTAAATCAGTTGAAGACAATAGCTACTGTCCTTCAGCTGTCCAGAGCAGCGTTTCTGTACCTTAACACCCAGGAAAGTCCTTTGGTTGTGCCTGGTTCTTCACAAGCAAATCTGTGGTTGTTGGAGTCTGATGGAAGCTGGTATGAATCTACACCAGGCTCACGTTTTTTGTATTCTGAAATGGTGATGGGGACATGGGGAAAAAAAACTTGGTCCGCAGTTAGGGAGATAAGTCAGGAATGACCTGATCACAGGAATAATGCTGAGCTAAATACGTACTTCCCACCCAGCCATGAACTGCACTTGAAGTAGGACGGCCCTTCGGTTTTCCCAGCTGCTGTTAGATCCCGGTGGTAGACAGCACTACTGATTTCTCACCTAAAGAGTTACTGCTATATTATTGCTGAATGCTGGCCACAGCCCGAGAGGTTTCTAACAGCGAAAATCCTGTTACAAATGTGATAATAGCAATTAATTTTGACTTGTCAAACCCATTCCAGGGCAAGGCGAGGCAAGCTCAGACCTTCCTGTCGCATGAGCAGCCGCTGTCCTCTGTCAGAGAAGCGTGATCTGCCATGGGAAGTGAAACCTGAAGCAGCGGAAAAGAAGCGGTGATGTGTAGGAAACCGAGGCAGCTGCTGTATGGTAAAATCAGTTCATGTCAAGAGACCACCTGTGATCACTTTACAGTGGAGAAAAGTAAGTAACTCTGTCCCCCAGCCACCAAATCTAGAAATCCCCAAACTCCGTCATTATGAAAAAAGGAAGCTTGACATTCATATTTCACAATTGTACTTCCCTACTTTTCATGTCTAAAGGAGTTTTCACTTTCTTGCAGCTTAACTTGTCCATCCCAAACAGCTCTGAAAGTTAGCATAATCACCTGAAAAATCAGAGGAAAAGTTGAACAAACTGCATGCACGGTGCACCATCAACACAAGTTAGAGACAGGGCTGATAACAAGGCCACAGTGTCGCTGGGCTCGCGCTTCATGTCCCAGACCGTTGGTCACATACGCTCTGTGTGCCGAGCGTGTGCCAGAGCCGGCCATCCCCGGCATCTCCAAAGTCAGCGCTGGCATTGCCTCTGTCCGACTCCCTGCCATCCCACCTCGCGATCGCCACAAGCCAGCATACACACGCTGACGCAGGAAAGCAGTATCGCTACCACCCCCCAACACCTCCCTGTTACTGCAGCTGCCGTAACTGTTTTGCGGCCACATAGTGAAAGAGGCTGGGGAACGCAGGATTGAAACTAATGCTATAGATGACCCTTCCACCTGCTCGTCAGAGTTAATTCTAGCCTCAGCCACTTCCCGATTGCCACTTGCTTCATGTGCACTTGTAGTGTGGTGGGACTGGTGGAATGGGACCGAAAGGAGACGGACCTCCTCTTCCAGCAGCACTGCTGCTTGGTGCCAGTTAAACTGACCGGGGACTCCTGGTGTGCTTGCCCTGAAAAGTTTAGGTGTCAGCAGAATTATGAAACGCTAATAACAGAGTTCGATGCCTCTTAAGCTAGCTGTCTTTGCTACGCAGGCAGGTAACCGACTTTCAACAGATGTGGACTGAAAATACGATCCCCGACACATTCTAGTTGAGCTGTTTTTAGCTGGTGAACATCCTGGCAGAGGAGCAGACGTACAGCTCCCTTGTCTCGCAAGTCCGCTTGCCTGCTCCGTGAGAGATTCACTGCAGCTCTGAACTCATCAAAGGCCTTGACAAAAAGCTCATCTCTTCGCGCTCTTCTCGTGCTGCATCCTGCTGCAAGCAATGCTGCCTACTAATTTCAGAAATGAGTAAAGGATTACCACTTTTTTTTTTTTTCCTTCAAAAAGAGAGATAATTTCAGAAATGAGTAAAGGATTACCACTTTTTTTTTCCTTCAAAAAGAGAGGGGGGGAAAGCTGCACTTACATAAACTGCTTCCCCACAGTATTCGAGGAACAGTGACCCATTTCAACAACGTTTTTAATATTCATGACAGCAGCTGGCTTTAATTACTGCTCACGCCTTTGGTAATCCAAACATCTGCTGGGAGGTTGAAGCTGACAATGAGTAAAGGATTACCACTTTTTTTTTCCTTCAAAAAGAGAGGGGGGGAAAGCTGCACTTACATAAACTGCTTCCCCACAGTATTCGAGGAACAGTGACCCATTTCAACAACGTTTTTAATATTCATGACAGCAGCTGGCTTTAATTACTGCTCACGCCTTTGGTAATCCAAACATCTGCTGGGAGGTTGAAGCTGACTAAAAGCCAGAACCTCAACTGGCTTAGTAATCCAGCTCGCCAACGCTGAAAAACAGGCAAGAGCTGCAGAAGGAACTTGAACCAATTCTAACGGCAGACTTGGGCGTTTTGCTTTTAGGTCAAATAATTTATCAGTCAGGCGCCTGCAACGTCTCTTGTCAACGGCCGATTCTTTTCTGGTGAGCCTTGCGCGCGTCCGTGGACGCGTTTTCACGTACGGAGACGCAAACGCGGGCCCTGAGCCAGGTTCTGAGATGTTTACCGACTTTCGGGCCCGGCGCTCTCCCTGCCAAAACCCGCGCTGGTCTCCCCAGCTGGGAGACGAGGAAAGCGGCGC